CCGCCCACGACGCCTGTCCCCTCTCTGCCCTTGTCCCCACAAGGCACGCCTTCCCGAAGCAGGTGAGCCCGGCAGCCTTGGCTGAGGGCTCACCTCCTCCCCAGGAGCGACTGCAGGAACTGTGGGAGGTGTACCAGCGCCTGGGCCTGGAGGACGACATCGTGGACCCCTCCAACACCCTGCTCCGTGAGGGCCCAGTCCTCAAGATCTCCTTCCGCCGCAGTGACCCCATGGAGCGCTACCTTTTCTTGGTAGGGGTGCGGGGAGCCCCACTCCACGCTGGGGAGGAAAGTCCACCGGCCACTCTGGCCAGAGTCACACCTGCCTGGCCTCTACCTGGTGCTGTGGGAAAGATAGGGAAGAGCCTGCTTCTCTGTCCTCTGCTTTGGCCCTTGGGTGGCTTTGGACGAGTCACCTGCTGCCTCCCAGCCTCAGGGATTTCCAGCCCACGGGTTTCCCAGACGTGTCTTGGGAAGCCACAGAATCAGAGTTGGAACCCAGTCTGGCTCCAAAGCCTGTGGTGTTAATCTGAGCCCTAGAGAGTACACAGCAGCAGGAGGGAATAAGGTTAGCTGCACTGAAGAAGCCAAGGGATCTCCTGAGATCTGGAAAGGCAGTCCTGCCTGGAGGTCCAGGGGAGGGAGCCCTGCCTCCCTGAGGCTCCGTGAGAAAGGCCTCGTAGGTTTCTCAGGTCCGCTGGGTCCCCAGATGCCCACAGGTGGGGTGACCCTTCAGTAGCCATCTTAGTGAGATTGGGAGCTGGATGCCCCTTCATCACTTGTCATGCCCTGCAGGCTGGCCAAGAACATGGCTGGTGGGGAGGGGAAACCCAGGGGCGCTCAGCCCCCCGGTGGGGAGGTCCCCCCGACCTTCCTTCCTGCCCCTGGCCACACACTCACGCCCGGTCTCCTACAGTTCAACAACATGCTGCTCTACTGCGTGCCCAGGGTCATCCAGGTGGGCGCTCACTTCCAGGTGAGGACCCGCATTGACGTGGCCGGGATGAAGGTGAGCGTCCCCCCAGCCACCATGGGGCTTCACCCAAGGGTGGGGCCGGGCATGGGAGGGGCAGGAGGGGCAGGGCCAGGTTCTCAGTGGGAGAACCGAAGCCTGGGCAGAGATGGGAACGTGTGGGGCCAGGGCGCTCTCTTCCGAGCTCCTGCCCTCCTGCCCAGGGCCCTCCTGGAGGCCCACAGACCTGGCCCTCTCCTGGGGACAGTGCCTGCATGACCCAGCAGGGCTTCTCTCTCTGCTTTCCCTACTGTCGACACCACCACCTTGAAAACTCACGTGTACTCAAATCCCCTGAGCGTCCTGTGAAAATGCAGGTTCTGAGTTGGTAGGTCTGGGGGGGCCCTGAGAGCCTGCATTTCTTTTTTTTTTTTTGAGTTAGAGTCTCACTCCGTCGCCCAGACTGGA